TGTATTTCAGTTCAAGGGTGTCCTACAACTCCTTGGCACACAAGGCTTCACTATGGATATCAAATAATGCATCAGACATACCGTTCAGAATGTGACCTTTGCAGATGCAGTCATCATTGTCCCACTTCTGTCTCTTTCTTGTCTCTTCGGCCATCTCAAAAACACCTTCTGCAGGCTCTGCTGGTTTTGGAGTAGTCAGCACGTATGCTGCTTTCAGAGTAGTCAGCATGAAGTGCATCTTCTTCTTCCAACGCCTGAAGTCGACACCTTCGAACTTCTCCAGTTTGGCAAACTTGGTAGTCATCTCGTGGATTGAGTCACCCATCTCCAGGAACAGAAAATATCAGTTCGATTGTTGGGAATATTAGGGTTTGTGGTGGAGATCTGGATACCGACTTGGATCGTGATATCACTTTCCAAACTGATATTTCTACCCTATGCCTGGGTTACAAGAAATTCAGCCTAGGATAATCCAAGTGGACACTTACGATTCTAGGCACAGAAATCGTAAGCCAAAATGCTAGAGGATTCTGTGAAAGTATGATGAAAAACGAGAGCTTAAGATCGTAACCCTCTTCTGAAAAGAAGAGTCATTTATATAATAAACGATATTAGGGTTTCATTAGGTTGAGCCAGGGGCTCTGCCCCTTGGACCCAGCTAGGGGCGCTGCCCCTAGACCTCGCCAAAGGGGAGCTGCCCCTTTGGAAACCCCGGACCCGGGGGCGCTACCCCCGGACCCCCGACTAGTCGTCGAACCGGCTTCTAATTCGATCTTATACATGTATGCACTCCGCACAACCCCGTACATATAATAGAGTACAAATTATGAAGCCTCTTAGCTCACATGTTAGTTCCAGTTACTTAAAATGACATGGTGACACTAAAATCACCAACACTTTATGGGTTTTAGTGGAAAATGGAATAGTTGCATTAAGCATGTCTCAATTTGGCTAGGTCTTCTCTTATTGTCAATAGGACTTCTTGTGGATAGATTTACAAATAATTTGTCCAAATGGAAGATTTAAATGCTTTCTATTGGTGGTAGACTTTATAGAAGTGAGTTTTGGGTTCTTTAAGGACTTACTACATGTATATTTTTCCTATGTTGGTGTATGTTTCTAAATTCTTAGAAATTCTTAGAAACTGCTCGGATTAGATTCTTTTTTTTTGGGGGGGGGGGGAGTGGGAGATGAAGTTAATAGAAAAATGTATTGGGTTAAATTGGACATGGTGTTAGCGTCAAAAGAAAATGGAGGTCTTGATATTGGCAATTTTTCGGCCCTCCGTTATGCCCTCATCGAAAAATGGAAATGAAGATTTCATAAAAATAAAGATGCTTTATGGATTAAGGTTACCACTTTAATTCATTCATAAAAATAAAGATGGTTTATGGATTAAGGTTATCACTTTAATTCATGGCCTTCATAGAATAAATGGGTTTCGTGACAGTTATGTTGACACGGTGAAATTTGGTCGAATATTGTTGGAGCTATAAATAAAATGCATGCAAATAGTATTATTACTGATGGTAATCTTCGGATGGCTATTGGAAATGGTAATAGTTCTTTTTTCTATAAGGATTTTTGGATTGACAATGTTCATCGTAAAACCAAATTCCCTTATTTATTCGTTCTTGAAAGAAATAAATATTGTTGCATCAAAGATTGAAGACTTGGTGAGCATTACCATTGGGATTAGGTTTGCAACCCGAGGACAGGGGTCGAGACTAATCAAATCATGACATTAATTCCTTTGGATGATAATGTCCAATTTTATGATCAAAGAGATAGATGGTATTAGGATTTGGACAATGATGGTGATTTCACGGTTTTTAGTAAATATAACCCTATTGATGATTTCTTACTTCTGGATAGTGATCTAGTTACTAAATGGAACAAATAATCCCCAAATAAAGTTAATGTCTTTATGTGGAGAGTTATTTGGAATAGACTTCTAAGTAGACCTAACCTTTCCTTCTATTGGGTTGATGTTCCTTCCACTGTGTCTTTGGGTTGTTTTATTAGAGTTAAAGACTTAATTCATCTTTTAATGAAGTGTCAAGTTGCAGCTAGAACTTGGAATTCGATTTCTCTGTGGATGGACATGCAAGTTCTAGATTATGAAGAAATTGATGATGTTTCCATTAGTTAGAGTCGAGTCATACCTCTTCCTCAAAAAAATAATGATTAAATCGATTGTATTTACTATGTGTTGGGCTTTTTGGCGGTTCAGAAATTCATAGTGACAGGTGCTTGGTGACATTAAACAAGTAAAAGATAGCATAACACTATTCAAGACTGTTTTTTTTTTGTTTTGAAGTGAGGGCATGAAAACTTTAATTAGTTGTATAGAGTGATTAAAACACCCAGTTAATGTTGTGTAATTGTTTATTTTTCTAGCTTCTTGCTTGTATAAATATATGAATAATTAGCTGTTAAAAAAAATGATGCAATGATATGAAGATCAAATATACATTTCATCTTGATGGAACATAAATAGACTAAAGGCCAAACGAAAATCACTAACAAATGAAACATCTCGGTTCAATAACCTCCCAAGTGTCCAATGGTTATATATGACCATCGTCTAGGTGATAATAAATGAAACATCATTCAGACTCATTTGTATATCAATAGTTGTCTGTCCTATAGAAATACGACTCCCAACGAATCAAGTCACTAACTTTAATATGGATGAAATAGATACATGCCTAGCTTAGGGTCAACTTAGACACGTTCAATGAGATAATGGATGTGGCATCTATGAGGCGGGTTGCATGTAATTAGGCCTGGCAATCATGTCGTGTTCGGGTTGGCGTGTCGCGGGTTGGCAGGTCAAAATATGTCAACCCAAACACGACTCATTTAAATATACAGGTCACGGGTTGGTGGGTTTGGAACATAAACTCATATATGACTCGCCAACCCATTTATTTATACGGGTTCACAGGTTGGCGGGTTCGTGGGTCAGATTCCATAAATAAAATTGACAATTAAACATGAATAAATTCTTGATGGTTGATGCAAACATATCCGAATTTTAGACACTTAAGTCTTAAACATCCAAATGAAAATTATAAACATTCATAAAAACATGTTCAAACTAAACATTAATACAAACATAGATAATTCAAGTGCTAAAGTAATACGCTCGTACACGATTTGATTTTGAGATTATAATTTAGGGTTAGGGCAAATGAGCAAAATAGATACAGACTTAGCCTTACAGGTTACGACTTACGACCTTAGGTCATCCACCACAAGTCAAAATGTCAAAACAATCAAATGGTCTATGAATCAATGGTATGTATTATATAATACTTATTAAATATTAATACTTGATACATAAATACATTTAAAAATAAAATAATTTTTTTATTAAAAATATAAACGGGTTGGCGGGTCAACCCGTTTATTTTTCGAGAAACTCATATTTGACCCGTTTAATAAACGGGTTGGCGGGTTGGTGGGTTGGCGGGTTGAAAAACTCAACCCAAACCCATTTATTTCGTGTCGTGTTGCAGGTCGTGTCGAGAATTGTCAGCCCTACATGTAAGTCCTACACATGTGAATATTAAATAATTAGGTCAAAGGCATGTATTTTAAGGTAAAGAATATTGTACTTTAGAGCCTTGTTTGCTAGGTTCACTGCATTATATTGATCATTTGAAGCCTACCATATACACATATACAACAATTTAGATTTTTTGAATAATATTTTTCAAGTGTTTGATGTCACTCTCATCGACTATCTCTATAGGATACTTTAACGTAGAATGTTGAAAAGATAAATTGATATTAACTATGTTTTGCAAACCTGTCTTCAAATAGAGCAAATTTAGTAAATCAAGAAAATTTAAATCGGACATAAATTTTGCACCATAGTTCTTAACAAAAGGCCTAGCATATTGAGTTTTATCATTTAATGGTTGTTATGAACCACCGATACAAACAATTAAATACTCTGTTGGGTTTGAAGTCATGGTTTTTATTTTCTCAGAGAATGATATCAGATAATTTTCTTTTTGAAAATTTCAATGTTTTCAAAGTATAACTTATACAAAACAATGATTCTTTTTTTTAATCTATATACGGATGTTAGATTTTACAATACGGAAAACAGAAAAATATATACTATTGTCAGAATGTCTGCATATATATATATATATATATATATATATATATATATATATATATATATATTCACCAAAGTTCTAAATAATGTGAGGCGTAGCTTGGTGGCAAGGTAAAAGTTAAGTCATGACAAGCCTTGGCGAGCCATGACGTTTTTTAAGGCGTGACTATTTTATATATATTAAAAGAAATAAATCATATAATTATTGATTTTTATCAAGTATATCAAGTTTTTAGAACTGTTATATTAGTATTTAATATAAAAAGTTAACAAAAACTAAATTATTTTAGGCTCGATAAAAAAATTCAAAAAACAAAAAATACTCGGGCCTTGAAAAAAACTCGCGCCATATCGCGATAAGGCGCGTCTTGCCACGTTATTTGGGCGTCACGCTTAACAAACCCGCTTTGGACGCTTTCGTAATGGCTACACCACGCCTCACGTCATAGCACGCCTTGAGGCGCGCAATGACGCGTTTTTTAGAACCATGATATTCACAGATGAAATCTGTAATTTTGTAGGTATGTGAAAAATCTCATTTTCTCATATGACATGAACGATTTTGCAAATGTGAAAAGAAAATTTCTCAACATTTTTAGATCATTTCACAAATGAAATCTAAAAAATAATGGCTAATTTTGATAGAGCGTTTAATTTTTATTTTTGTTTAAATCTTAAAAAATTATAAATGGAATTAACATATTTGTCTTTTTCTCTGATAAATAATTGGAATTAACAAATACAAACAAAACAACACATCCTTTTAAAGAGTAATACAGACACTTTGTTTGGTCTCCCCGGTCCAACGAGTACTAATATGTTGCTATAAATAAGTAAACCACAAGAATCCATTAATTCCATTCATCCTCGTACACAAAAAGACAGACACAAACACAAACACAAATTCCCTTTCTTTCTTTCTTTCTTTCTTTCTTTCGCTTTCACCCATCATATCAAAACCATCCAAAACGGGTGTTCCTCTGTGGATGCTTGGATTCGGTGCAGTTCGTCTGCGAACCGACATGAATCGCTTGCTTTCAGTCCTCTTCCACCAAGGCGTTCTCGATGAACAGTTCTTGCAGCTCCAACACCTCCAAGATCAATCCTCCCCCAACTTCGTCTCCGACGTCGTCACCATCTACTTTCACGAATCAGAAAAGCAGCTTCGCAACCTCCGAAACCTACTGTACGTATTATAAATTTATAATCCCTCCATTTCCTCTCATTCCTTCAGGTTTTCTGATGTCAATCTTCTTCATATTAATTGTTCGAAACCAATTAAAGGTTGGATAAGGAGACATGGGATCATGTTAAGCTCGGAATACATTTGAATCAGTTGATGGGAAGCAGTTCCAGCATTGGTGCTAAAAGAGTTCGAAACATTTGTGCTGTGTTTCGGGCTGCAGTTGAACAGAATAATCGGCCAGCGTACGTGACCGAAGATACATTAGATTAATCGGATTTCGTTTAAACTTTATTAGATAAACATATTAATTTGCAGGTGCATGAGGGCATTAGAGGTGCTTGAACACGAATATTGTTATCTGAAGAACAAGTTGCATGAACTTTTTCAGGTAATTAATTATTATTCATTCATTTGGTTTTGTTAAAGTAGAATGGAGGTCTGACGAGTTTCAGGGGTTGTGTGCAGATGGAGCAACAAAGAGTGCTTGGAGATGCAGTGAGGTACGCAGGTGTAGTGCACCAACAGTGAATCGAAGCGCATGTAGGTAGCATGGGGTGTGCCTTTTGGGTGTTATAGGTTGTTAACTTTTTTGTCTTTTGTTAATTATTAGGGGGGAATGTAAAACGGGCTACTTTTTAGTGTTGTCTTTTTCTATCGCACTCTTTTGGGATAGTCGGCGCAAGATTCCTTTCTTCCTTTTTAACGTTTTTGTCAAGAATTGGTAAGGTACAGCACACTAAAACACTACAATATTTTTTCAATAGTATATCTAAATATCAATCAAAAAATAATAAAAAAATTTAAATATCAATCAAACTATATATACAAACGCCACTTTTTAAGTTATATAAAGATTTGAAATTATGATGCATTTGTTTTAAAAATGGCTTAACTTTGATTATACCAATAAGTCAAATTAATAAGCTTCAAAAACTTAGTTGAAGCAAAAACAGAATATTGGTTAAATGGAATAAATGTCGACCAATGTATTAAAATACTTAATAATCTCGTAAAAATATTGATCATATTTTAACGCGGTACTTCTATTATTTTATCTTTTTTCTTATAAAACAAAGTTTATACTAAAATATTGTTAAGTAAAAGTTCAAACATATTCATTTCATGTTTAGACAAATGGAAAATACATTTGTATTTTTTTACTTTTTTTTGCTAAAATCTCATATAGGGGCTATTAGGAGTTGTCTTGACGTGAGGGTGCCAAAAGGATGGTCACATCATCACAACACACTTCTACCGCCACCGCGCCACCATTGGGATGGTGTTCACGCCAATGACGCCCATCAAGTGCCCGATGATGCTCCCATTCCTGATAGTTAAATCTTCATTTGCATTTAGATCAATCAATCTCTTCTTGTTATTAGCAAACCGTATTCTTCTTTGCACGGCCAAATTATATTAAACTAGCATGACACTACTAAACAATAAAATTACAACGAAGAGACAGCCAGAGTTGGATTTGTAACAAACCGGTTCGACGTTTAAGTTATAAAATAACCATAAAATGAATACAATACATTTTTTTGTAAAAAGACCATATTTTCTCAGTTTCTTTGTTCTAAAGAGCAAAGTGTTACAAAAGTTCCAAATCCTTGTAAAAGTCTCTCTCTCCATGCATTCTTATTGCTCTTTGTTTAAATTGTAAAATTTTTGGCCAATGATAGTTGTAACCCCTCAACTTATATATAATTTCCAGTCATATTTCATTTCCGCATGTATGTTTTTTAACAACATAACTCGCATTATTTTTATCAAAAGTTACTTATATGTTTTTAGGGGTTACAACTAGCGATCACAACCATATGAAAACATTCAAAAGTATATTACAACCATATGAAATTAAAATAAATTGTTATGATGTTTTCCACATCTAAGTCTCAAAAGTCCATCTTCTTGTATCTCAAAAGTCCATGCTAATGACTTATATCACTCTTATTTTTCTTTAGTGACTGAAGTACATTTCATAAAACAAAGAATACGCAATACTTTTTTTTCTAGTGCTATACATAGGTTTTAGACACAAATCATTCGTGTAAATACGCAAATACAATGCAATACATATACTCGAACACTTGACACTATGTAATCTTGTTCCAAATCAGAGGGGCCATATGTTGTCCCAAATCGAAAGGATATTTGCTTATTCTAAATCAAAGGGACCTTTATCTCATTCGTAATTAGAGGACCTTACACTCTAGACCTTTTATTTAACTTTATACAATCACGTGTACATGTACATCACAAGCACTCTTTCCAAATGTAATCATACTACACATTCACCATGATATGTTATGGTATCAACCAAACTTTATCATGTAAAATTACTTGTGAACATATTATTTCATAAAGAACTATACATCATATCATTAACATTTCATAACAAAACATTATAATAAAAATAAAACATTGGTGACATATACCCAATTTAAAAGCTCTATATGTACTATAGAAGATCATCAAAATGGATTGATAGACATTTAAGGGCTTTATAGGCCTTTACTCTAGAAGATCGTCGTAACACCCGTTTCCTCAAGTACATTTCTTATATTATTTAAAACCTTAATTTTATTTTTGGGAAAATTGGTCCTACGCGGGGCGTAGGTAGTACGCATGGCGTAGGTCAACAAGTCATTGAGAGGGTTTAATGCCCTACGCATGGGCGCATACATGTTTACGCAGGGCGTAAGTGCGCAGGGTTCAAACTCTAATTATGGGTTTGTGAGCCCTATTTAAGGTCCTTCACTTCTTGAGACCCTCTCCATACTCAGCCCTCCACCATTTCCTTCATTAACCTTGAAATCCTAGTCCCTGGGTGTGAACTTTGAAGCATTTGAGTGATTCTTAGTGTGTTTTTATGAAGAAGGAGGCCCTCGAAGGTGTACTTAGGAGTCCATAGCTTGTAGATACAACCCATACTCTTCTTCAAAATTCTCCAGGAGGTATAAAGCGTAAACATTGATGACTCATTTGATAGATCTAGCTAGTTATGGGTTTTATGAGCTTTTTGGTCCCTTGACTTTGGTCCAAGTGAGTATGAGCTACTCCAGATGTAACACCCGTTTCCCAAGTACTTTTCTTTGGGGCTTGATTTATTTTAAAAAAATCAAAATTGGTCCCTACGTTGGGCGTACATGTTTGGTACGCCGGTCGTAAGTCATTAAGTTGATCGCGCATTCTTTCGAGTACGTTGGGCGTACTCATGCAGAGTGTAAACCCTAAATTTTAGGATTTGGACCCTATTTAAACACCTTATAAGGCCTCTCCCATCACCAGCCTGTTGGGTTTTGAGCATTCTAACACTCCTAGGTGTACATGCAACCCTAAATACCTTTGATCTATGTTTTCTCTATTATACATGCAAATATGAACATTCCAAGGTATTACCCTAACTAGCATATAATCTTTTGATACTTGGGTAATAAACTAGATAGAAATACATACCTTGTCGATGTAGCTTGATTCCATGAAGCTCGAGAGCCTAGTTCCCCAAGTGTGACACCTTAAATGGTTCACACAACATCACCAACACATGGAATAACCATGAGAAGAAGACACTCATGCTCAAATCGGCTAGCCCTCATCTATGTATCACAAGTGCCGGTTTCTTAAGCTAAAAGGGTCCTTATATAGTGTGCACATTAGGGTTACACCATGTAACCCATGACTTTACCCATTCCTTATGCTTCATGAGTTTTTAACCTCCATGGAGTATCGATGGATCACCACATGGGTTAAACCCAACATAAGGAATCATGGATCATAAGCCCACATATATAAGAATGAATGATTTACACAATCAATCCCCATATATTTAATTAGTCTCTTCTGATCACTAAATTAAGTCCAAATTAATTCTTGATCAATACTAATTAAATAACATGATTTCATATTAATATATTAGAACTTATAATATATTAATATGTCACAAATGTCCTCTTCTCACAAACGGTCTATCCAAATGTTCTGATGCCATGCAACCCAAATGGACCATGCCGAGTTGGGTCAAGTACATACCAAATATAGTTATGGACTTAGACACTAATCCAACAGTCTCCCACTTGGATAAGTCTAAATTTATTATTGCGTATGTCTTCAAAAACCAACTGGCAATCGTAGCTCTCAAAAGCCGCTGTCGAACTCTGACCTTGTCGATGAACTTTGACCTTTGTCAATGACTTATCCATTAGATAAGAGATCATATATTCCTCCATTCTAGATATCATATGGACTGAGACATGGATTGTAAATCATTCTCTCTGTCCATTTGTTGTTTCCCGATTTGCGATTCATGATGACTGACTGATTGAACAGATCAAATCAGTCCTGGCTTGGCCAAGCACTCACATGTATCATCATTAAATCATCGAGCGGCCCACATATATCGCTTTTATCCCGAGGGTAAAAGGAATGGATAAACTTTTGACTCATATGGCTTGTTCTACTACTTGTTGAATCATACACAAAGGCACGTTTTATAACATCGAGTTACCAATGCGTTTTCGTGCAATCAATGTATAACCAACTCATAGTAACAACTCATATCTCTAGGTTTGAAGAATATAGGATATTATCTTCTCATGATCACTCGTGATAAAATCCATGAAGTGATTCCAATGAGCGTGGGTTGAATCCAATACTCAGAACTTATGAGCATTCATGAGTGTTGTAGCACCACTTTGTCCAACATCTTAGACCTCTACAAGCCAACTCATGACAGTCTTGATTCATATCTACTTCCAACATATGACCGACTGTGGATGGTTTGAATAACTTAGTCATTCAGGAGGAACGACCTAGTTATTCTGGAAGTCAAAACATGCAAAGTGAAACACAAGAATAATCGAATCCAATATGGTCTCAGAACTTATGAATATAAATAAAACATCTTTTATTTATCACCATATTGATTACACATTATTCATTGTATACTGTTTCACACTATCAACTTTATACTTGAATTAAAACAATAGTTGTCCCATGCTCCAAGCATGTACACTATGTTTTCTAAACACTAGCCATGTTATACTCTAAGTATGCACCCTATGTTTGTCTAAACATTAGTTATGCCATACACCAAATATGCATACTAAGTTTGTCTATGATCTTTACTTTGTGAAATAGATCGATTGAACATAATTCCAATGATACTCATTTCACAATCCCAAATCCTTACCGCAAATGCAAGAATTCCAAATTCCTTCCATTTACCTAAATCTGTTAAATTCTAAACTTATATGCATTGGTCCTCTTGTAATGATTATGCACAAAGTCACAAAGACTTGTCAACAGACATTACAGAGTGTTCCAATAGAGATCAACTCCATGGAACAGAAGTCTCATATTCAAAGTTCATTGCCTTTGAACATTCTTCTTGCATTAAGTTTCCTAATCTTACACAGATTTAATGAATAACTTCCATCTATGGGAACATTTCCATATTCCCCTTTTGAATATTACTCCTGAACAAGAGTTGCCTCTTTTCAGAATATGTCAATATGGTCCTTCCAAAATTAACACTATACTTCCAACTGTCCCTGAGCAACCAATCTTTGGTAAACCTTAGATTGTCCTAGACAATTGCTTAATCATTTTAGTCATATCCAATTCTAGACCTTTTTCCCTTCTTAATGCTCTGGGCATTTGGAAAAATTTAGAACAGGTGAATATTATAGCACATGCAATCGATCCTATATCCGAAGCATATGGGACACGATTCATGATGTCTCACATAAAGACATGATACTAGACCAGTCCTTTTGCTACAATTATTTCTATTTGCCAAGTTCTTATAATTCAGATTATGAAAAGGGATGTCGTAATCATAATCGAATTTTAAAACGCAAATAATGGACTCATATATAGAATTTCCTTATGTTGAGCCATTCCAACACAAAATTCATATATATCCTTGACTAAAGATGATTAAAACCTCAATCTAAGCTTTTAGAATTGAAATGAAGTATAATTTCCTCTCCCTTAATTATAGCAAAACAACTTTTCAACCCCTGCAACTTCACGAATTGAAACTTTTGTTTTCTATAATTAACATTGCTATCTTGCAATACTAATAATTATCATGCTCCCACTAACATGATGATTATTAGCGTAACACTTATGCTCCCACTAGCTTTGACATGTACTTAGAAATCAGCTGGACTTCTAGAAATCAATACTTTATTGACTTTCTTACCAAAGTTCAGATTTCTGATACAATGTGCTTTGATAAAACTTTATCAAAATCATACACCTTTCCTCAGATAGCACACATATGTGTCTAAACAATTTCAGAACTATGAAAAGGGATGTCGTAATCATAGTCC